GGAGGAGGATGGGAGCAAGAGCAGTGGCGAAATGAGGAGGGGAGGGGGAAGAGGGAGTGGAGGAAGTGAGGAGAACAAGGATGAGAGAGATGAGAAGGTAGGAGAGAAGGAGAGGAGGATGAAAGGAGGAGGAGAAGGAGGAGAAGGAAAATAGATGAGAAAGAGAAGGAGAAGGAGGAGAGAAGGAGGAGGAGAAGGATGAGAAGGAGGAAGTGCGCGAGGCATTATAAAAGCGTTAGGAGGAGGATGATAACGAAGAATGAAAGTGTCGACAAGACGGGTGAAGGGAGGAGAGAGGAGAGAGGAGGAGGAGGATGCGAGGGGGAGAGGAGAATTATGATAGAGAGGATGAGGATGAGAAGGAAGATGAAAACAGATAATTAAATAACGACACGCCTGTTGGTTTGCAACTTGTGGTACATGACCAGTCCGCCTGCAAAACTGCTGCTTGCCTGCCAGATATACACGGGCACGCCTTCGTACACGCCTGCTCTCTTGTTACACACACGCACGCACGCACGCACGCACGCGCGCACACGCACACACATGTACGCACGTCACGTACATGTAGGCCACGTCAGTGCGTCAAACCTTTATCGTGAAAATCGGATTACGTATTATTCTTTTTTACGTATTTTTTAATTACAACACTCCCCCTCCCTCCCCTCCCCCGCGGAACCGCGAACACCGGAGGATGGGGAGAGGGGGGAGGGCTTGTCAAACGTGACTGGAATTAAACACACTCCGCTATACACAGTATTACACTCTGCATTACAGTGTGATGATTGTCAATCACCACTCAAATTCAATTAAACATGCTCTGCAGCTTAAATGGCTAAATTAGAAGAGCGAGCGAGCGAGCGAGAGAACGAGCATGTGGCAACTGCTACCGATTCAGTAACTTTCTCTCAGAACGAAACCCACAATTTAAAAAATCTGGAATTATTGACGTGGTTTTAATAGACGCAGCAGCAGCAGCAGCAGCAGTAGCAGCAGTAGCAGTAGTAGCAGCAGTAGCAGCAGTAGGCAGTAGTAGCAGCAGTAGCAGTAGTAGCAGCAGGGCAGCAAGTAGCAGCTTGTAGGGCGTAGCAGGCAGCAGCAAGCAAAGCATATGTCAGTAGTGAGGCAGCAGCAAGGCAGTAGCATCTGTAGCAGTAGTCAGCAGCAGCAGCAGATGTAGGGCAGTAAGGGCCGCAGGCACGTAGGCAGTAGTACTAGCAGGCAGCAGTAAGCAGCAGAGGCAGTAGTAGGCAGCAGTAGGCAGATGTAGCAGTACGCAGCAGCAAGTAGCACACGTAGTAGCAGCAGCAGGCTAGTAAGCAGCGCCAGTCAAGCGTAGTATGCAGGGCAGTAGCAGAATGTAGCAGTAGCAAGGCAGCAGCAGTACAGGCAGCGCGTAGTAAGGCAGCAAGCCGTAGTAAAGCAGCAGCAGCCAGCAGCAGTAGCAGCAGTAGCAATAGCAGCAGCAGTTAGTGCAATAGGCAAGCACGTAGCATGTAGTACGCAGCAGGCAGCAGTAGCAGATTGTACAGTAGCCAGCAGCAGCAACAGGCAGCAGTAGTAGCAGCAGCAGTAGCACAAACAGGCAGTAGCGGCGAGTAGCAGCAAGTAGCAGCAGCAAGCAGCAGTAGCAGCACAGCAGCAGCGGCAGTAACAGGCAGTAGCAGTAGGCAGCAGCAGGCCAGTAAGCCAGCAGCAGCAGGCAGCAGCAAGCAGCGGTAAGCAGCAACAGCTGTAGCAACAGCATTAGCAGCAGTAGCAGCAGCCAGCAGCAGTAATTCTAGGCAATAGCAGCAGCAGTAGGCAATAGCAGCCAGCAGTAAGGCAGTAGTCAGGCAGGGAGCAGCAGTACGCAGATGTAGGCAGTAGCAGGCAGCCGAGCAACAGGCAGCAGTAGTAGGGGCAGCAGCAGTAGCAAAGGGCAGCAGCAGTAGCGGCGCAGTAGCAGGCAGTAGGCAGCATGCAGCAGCAGTAGCAGGCAGCACAGGCGCAGCGAGTAACAGCAGTAGCAGTAGCAGCAGCAGCAGTAGCAGCAGTAGCAGGCAGGCAACAGCAGCGGATAAGCAAGCATACAGCTGTAGGGCAACAGCAGTAGCAACATGTAGGGCAGGCCAGCAAGCCAAGCAGTACAACAGCAGTAGATTACAGCAGTAGCAGAGCAGCAGTAGCAGCAGACAGCAGCAGCGACATCCCAACGGCAGCAGGCAGGAAGCAAGTAGCAGCAGCAAGCAGCAGCCAGCTCAGGCAGCAGTAGTAGCAGCAGCAGCAGCAGCATCCCACGGCACTCACTCAGCAATTGCAGCGAGGAGAGAAATCAACGCTAATTGTGTGACGACCGGCGGTAACGAACGGCGACGACGTCGGAGAAAGAATTCACCGTCGGCTGGAAGTGAACACTTGACGCGTCGTCGACGACGTCCGCTCCCTACGCGAAGCGGCGACGAAGCCACGCCCTCCCCCGATGGCAATGGGCAGGTTTACATCCCCTCCAGTATGCCTGGCCAGCATAACATATAATAATATTACTCGTAAATAATATATATTCTAATAATATAATACATACATAATATATGAACTTCTATATATCCCATCCTATATGAACTCCACGGAACACGGTATAGCTTCTCCTTCCCACCAACAGGACGTATGGACCAGGGACCTTCTCCCTGTGCGGTAACATTGTTTCTCTTGACGTAAAACTAGCTGGACGGGCGGCAGTGACGAATGACTGATGATGAATGACTGGGACGAATTGACGATGATGATGACGTTGGGACGTGTTGATGACGAGCTGCTCAAATATGATAATTTGGAGCGGACGAGCGAATGTTAACCTTCTACCACACTCGCTACACAACGGCCGCAGCCTCCTCCTCCTGCCCTCTCCCGCCGCCTCCCACCGGCCTGCCGTCTCCTGCTTCCTCCGCCCCTCCGCCTCTCCGGCGCCCTCCCGCCTCCTCTTCCTCTGCCGCCTCTCTTCTACCGCCTCCTTCCCCCATCTCCTCCGTCACCGCTATCCGCTACCACAGCCTCTCGTCCGGCGAAAATATTTGCGAAGATTACAAATGTAATTTACATTTCGAAACCGAGCTTATGCGATGTAGCGAACGCGTCGCCGCGTGTCTGCACGCGCGCCGCCGCAGCTGCCGACGACGAATCGACGATTGACCGACGATGACGACGACGACGACGACGCATGACGAGCGATGACGACGACGACTCGACGGACGACGACGATGACGACGATGACGACGACCGACGAACGACGAACTAAGCCGTCGTTATTATAAATCGCACCGCAGCGAGAGCGAGCGCGACTGCCAGCGAACCCGTGGTGGCTGTCATCGTCATCAGATCATCATCGTCGTCGTCGTCATCGGGCATCATCATTCATTGTCCGTCGTCGTCAATCGCATCCTGCATCATTCGTCGTCGTCGTCATCGGCATCATCACATCGCCTCAGTGCATGTCTCATAGTTCAGTGCATGTTTCATAGTTCAGTGCATGTCTCAGAGCTCAGTGCATGTCTCATAGTTCAGTGCATGTTTCATAGTTCAGTGCATGTCTCAGAGCTCAGTGCATGTCTCATAGTTCAATGCATGTTTCATAGTTCAGTGCATGTTTCATAGTTCAGTGCATGTCTCATAGTTCAGTGCATGTTTCATAGTACAGTGCATGTTTCATAGTTCAGTGCATGTCTCAGAGTTGAGTGCATGTCTCAAACTATGCCATAGAGTTCATGTACATGCTCTATAGATTAGTGCTTGTCTCAGAGACCAGAGACTCAGAGACCAGAGCATGTCTCAGAGACCTGTACATGTGTATGCATCATGCATGTGGGTGTGATGATGACAGTAGATCAGGGCAAGTGTTAATGAAAGGGGTTGTTAGGGGGGCCATGCTGGTGTGGTATTTGGGATCACGCCCCTCACTGCCCCCACCCCGGGCAACCATACTATCCACACGCCCTAGCTCCCCCGTCTCACCGCTAATCGATCACATCAAGCGTGTATAACATATATTGATAGCTATCACTGTGTATCAATACGATCGCAGCTATACAATGTATATACACCGTTGTGTATGTATATGTACATCACGCGTTCATGCTGTATGTATGTCACGCGTGCCTACCTGAGCAGCTAGTACTCTGGGAGGGCAATTCGACGGTCCTGGTCCCATGAGCAGCTTGTGGGGGAACTGTAACGGCTTTAGCAGTCTCTCTGCCGGCCGGACAACGCTCCGTAAGTACTGGGCCATCTTAGATCACACAGAACGCAGGAGATGTTGTTAGGATGTTGTTCGACCTTCTGCCAGCACACGTCAACAGCGGAGAATGCATGCTCACATGTTTTGAAGTTAGTTAACCTGTGCTGCCATCGTTGGAGGACAGCTGATTCCTGTAATCGGTCATCGCTTGGGGCAAGGGTATGTACGCCTATGTAGGTCAGTCACTCACACGTACACACGCGCGGTGCAAACATGGGTCAGGGCCATAGTATTTCATCATAACAACCAAGCCGCCAAAGTGCTGCTATTGATTCTCAATATCATTGCAATTAATAGTCGTTTTGTTGCTTGATGCTACTGTTGCTACCCATGCCATGCCACCTCCGCCTCCGCTGCTCGCGCCTACATGTACTGCGGCTACTGCCATGCTTTGTGTGCATGCATGGGCACATCTACTACCGGAGCAGCGCGTATAAATAACCCCCGAGGAGCACGCAATATTATTTATTAATTAAATACGTTATTGGAGAATTAGATTTCACATGTATTCCGCGCGTGCTGTTGGATCATCGATGAGTGTTTAGTTCGTTACAGGCACTGTCAGGCCTGATGCGAACAGGTGTTGTTTAATTGTTGTTTGTTGTTATAGCGGGACCCCCGGGGGGGGGGAGAGGGGTACTCACCCTTTTTGGGGGTCGCCACCTATTCCCTCCCTCCCTCTCCCCCCTCCTCCCCTCCCTCCCCTCTCCCCCCTCCTCCCCCTCTCCTCTCTCTCACATCTTGCACGCGGTGATGGCTTCCTGCAGCACCTTCAGCACTCTCCTCACGTTCTCCTCGGTAGCGTTGTACCCCATCAGGCCGATACGCCACACCTTGCCAGCGGTCGGACCCAGCCCCCCACTGATCTCCACCGCGTGCTTGCTCATGCAGTGCTCCACGACGCGCTTCCACGCCACCCCGTCCGGCACGACGACAGCCGTTACCGTCGGCAACCGAGCATCCTCGTTCTCGACGAGCAGCTTCAGTCCAAGATCCTCGATCCCGCGCCACAGGAGGCGGGCGCAGCGGAGGTGCCTCTCCCAGCACACCTCCAGGGTTTCCTCCGCGAGCATGGAGAGTCCCTCCCTCAGCGCGTACATGCTGGAGATCGGGGCGGTGTGGTGGTAGCGACGTGGCCCCGCGTCACACCCCCAGTAGTTCGCCAGTTCCACGACATCGAAGTAGTAGGAGCGCACCCTGGTGGCGCGCGCGGCGACGCGCGCCATCGCGCGCTCCGAGAACGAGATCGGCGAAACGCCAGGGGGCGCCCCGATCACCTTCTGCGCGCCCGTGTAGACGACGTCGATGCCGAGAGCGTCGGCGAAGAACGGAGCGCCACCTAGCGAGGCGACCGTGTCGACGAGGAGGAGGCAGTCTCGCGCGCGACACAGCTCGCCGACGCCCTCTAGTGGCTGCATCGTCCCCGCCGACGACTCACCGTGACAGACGAACGTCAGAGACGGCGCGTGCTCCGCCATGGCGGCGGCGATGTTGGCGAGCGTGAACACCTCGCCAGGGGGCACCACGATGGTGCGGACGTCGGCGCCGTGCCGCGCCGCCATGTCTGCCGCGCGCGCCCCCCAGTGGCCGTTCTTGGCGATGAGTACGACGTCCCCCGGCTCGACGATGTTGCAAATGGCCGCCTCCATGGCCGCGTGGCCGGTGCCGCTGACGGCCAGCGTGACGGCGTTGGCAGTCTGGAACGCGTAGCGCGCTCCCGCCTTCACGTCGTCCATCACCGAACAGAACTCCGCGTGAAGGTGACCCAGCAGCGGCAGCGCCTGCGACGAGAAACAAGAGAACGTGCTCGCGCTTGACCGAAGAAAGCGCGCGGCATGGGGGGGGGGGAGAGCTTGCGAACTATATGATCTAGCAAACTTGGGGTTCGTAATCACGTGAAAGATATCCCGCGGTACACAGGAGAGGGAGGAGTGGGAGAACTAGCAGGGGGGTCGGAAATATGTAAGTTCTCGCAGAGAAGAGTCTCACGTATTCCGATGTTGTCAAGCGGATTCTTTTCGCACGAATTCTCGTACATTCCTCAACTCTTTACTTTACGTAACGTGCCTAACTACTTAACGTGCCTAACTACTTAACGTGCCTAACTACTTAACGTGCCTACCTACTTAACGTGCGGGTCATTACGGAGAATGAATCGGAGATTAATTTTTCGAGAGGTAATGTTATCGCTATAGCGACGGCCGTGCCGGATCAACGTTCCGCGAAATGCCGAATAGATTGTCGATGATCTAAGCTTCCTCGACGGCTGTTGTTTCAAGCTGCGGGAATTATTGCGCAAAGGAAATAGGCAAATATTTGTGAATGGACGGATTTCGCAGAGCGTAATTTATCGCTCGTGATGCTTATAATGTCTGTGCATGTGCGAGGAGCGCAGTGATGCCTCGGACTCAGACCGTGCGTGCCTGCGTTCAATGTCTCATAGTTCAGTGCATGGTTCATAGTTCAGTGCATGTCTCATAGTTCAGTGCATTTCTCAGAGTAAAGTGCATGTTTCATAGTTCAGTGCATGTTTCATAGTTCAGTGCATGTCTCAGAGTTCAGTGCATGTCTCATAGTTCAGTGCATGTTTCATAGTTCAGTGCATGTCTCATAGTTCAGTGCATGTCTCATAGTTCAGTGCATGTCTCATAGTTCAGTGCATGTCTCAGAGTAAAGTGCATGTTTCATAGTTCAGTGCATGTCTCATAGTTCAGTGCATGTCTCAGAGTAAAGTGCATGTTTCATAGTTCAGTGCATGTCTCAGAGCTCAGTGCATGTCTCATAGTTCAATGCATGTTTCATAGTTCAGTGCATGTTTCATAGTTCAGTGCATGTTTCATAGTTCAGTGCATGTTTCATAGTTCAGTGCATGTCTCATAGTTCAGTGCATGTTTCATAGTACAGTGCATGTTTCATAGTTCAGTGCATGTCTCAGAGTTGAGTGCATGTCTCAAACTATGCCATAGAGTTCATGTACATGCTCTATAGATTAGTGCTTGTCTCAGAGACCAGAGACTCAGAGACCAGAGCATGTCTCAGAGACCTGTACATGTGTATGCATCATGCATGTGGGTGTGATGATGACAGTAGATCAGGGCAAGTGTTAATGAAAGGGGTTGTTAGGGGGGCCATGCTGGTGTGGTATTTGGGATCACGCCCCTCACTGCCCCCACCCCGGGCAACCATACTATCCACACGCCCTAGCTCCCCCGTCTCACCGCTAATCGATCACATCAAGCGTGTATAACATATATTGATAGCTATCACTGTGTATCAATACGATCGCAGCTATACAATGTATATACACCGTTGTGTATGTATATGTACATCACGCGTTCATGCTGTATGTATGTCACGCGTGCCTACCTGAGCAGCTAGTACTCTGGGAGGGCAATTCGACGGTCCTGGTCCCATGAGCAGCTTGTGGGGGAACTGTAACGGCTTTAGCAGTCTCTCTGCCGGCCGGACAACGCTCCGTAAGTACTGGGCCATCTTAGATCACACAGAACGCAGGAGATGTTGTTAGGATGTTGTTCGACCTTCTGCCAGCACACGTCAACAGCGGAGAATGCATGCTCACATGTTTTGAAGTTAGTTAACCTGTGCTGCCATCGTTGGAGGACAGCTGATTCCTGTAATCGGTCATCGCTTGGGGCAAGGGTATGTATCAGATGTACGCCTATGTAGGTCAGTCACTCACACGTACACACGCGCGGTGCAAACATGGGTCAGGGCCATAGTATTTCATCATAACAACCAAGCCGCCAAAGTGCTGCTATTGATTCTCAATATCATTGCAATTAATAGTCGTTTTGTTGCTTGATGCTACTGTTGCTACCCATGCCATGCCACCTCCGCCTCCGCTGCTCGCGCCTACATGTACTGCGGCTACTGCCATGCTTTGTGCGCATGCATGGGCACATCTACTACCGGAGCAGCGCGTATAAATAACCCCCGAGGAGCACGCAATATTATTTATTAATTAAATACGTTATTGGAGAATTAGATTTCACATGTATTCCGCGCGTGCTGTTGGATCATCGATGAGTGTTTAGTTCGTTACAGGCACTGTCAGGCCTGATGCGAACAGGTGTTGTTTAATTGTTGTTTGTTGTTATAGCGGGACCCCCGGGGGGAGGGAGAGGGGTACTCACCCTTTTTGGGGGTCGCCACCTAAATGGGAAAATTGAGGGCAAAAAGATGACTCGGCAGTGAAAACATGGGGCAAAAATATGGCAAGGACAAAATTGGGGGGTAAAAAGAAGGCTAGAACAAATTCGGGGGGGGGGGAACAAGAAAGATGGCAAGGAACGCATAAAATATATTGGGGGGCCAATAATCTGTCGGCGCAATACACACACTACACACACACACAACACACACGACACACACACCACACCACACGACACACATGTCACACAGCATCACACACACACGTACACACACACACACACACACACACACATCGACACACTGTACACACACACACACACACACACACACACACACACACACACACACACTCACACACACACACACATGTCAACACACACACACACACTACAATAATATACTATATATATATATACTATATATATTATATATTATATATCATATATATATAATATACGTCACTATGCGGAGTACCCCTCCCCCCTCCCGGGATTGTGGACCTGATGGCGTGAATGTTTTTGTGACGATCAAGATATACGCAGAGATTCATCCGAACGCAGTTTTAATTCAATTTCACCGGAAACTTAACTTACGAAGTCCGTTCGTATTCTCGCCTGTGTAAGTCGGCAGTCCTAGTTGTTTTAGGCAATATGGATGAGGTCGCTTTCAGTGCCAATCAATTGGCGAGTCACGCGCGGAAAAGGAGGCGGGTGGGGAGGGGGGGAGGGGGAGGGAGAGACTGCGTTATTCTCAGCCATCCAGCTGAATGCGGGTTTGAACCGCTTGTTCTTTCTCTCTCCCCCTCCTTCAGTGTGCCTCTCTCCCGCTCTCTCCCGCTGTCTCTCTCTTCTCTCCCCCTCTTGTCTCTTCTCTCCTTCTTCTTTCTCATCTCTCTCTCTCTCTCTCTCTCTCTCTCTCTTCTTTCATCTTCTCTGGTCCCTTTCTCTCTCCCCTCTTTCCCTTGCCTTCTCGCTGCTCTCTCTTCTCCCGCTGTCTCTCTCCCGCTCTCTTCCCTTCTATCTCTCTTCTCCTTTCTCCCGTGCCTCTCCCTCTCTCTCTCTCTCTCTCTCCTCTCTCTCTCTCTCTCTGCTCTCTCTCTCTTCTCTCTTTCTCTCTCTCTCATCGCGGCTCTTCTCTCTCTCTCTCTCTCTCTCTCTTCTCTCGCTCTCTTCTCTCTCTCTCTCTCTCTTTCTCTCTCTCTTCTCTCCTCTCTCTCTATCTCTGAGGACTCCCCCCTCTCTTCTCTCTCTGGCCTCCCTCTCTCTCTCTCTGCTCGCTCTCTCTCTCTCTCTCTCTCTCTCTCTCTCTCTCTCTCTCTCTCGTCTGTCAGCGCGTTCTCCCCTTTTCTTTCTACGAGCCGCATATCATCCCAAACTCTCCCTGAAACCGGCGGGAAATTGAGAGCGGCCGAACTAAGCCGTTCTGTATAGCAATGCTCGCGGTTATTCCAGCAGCCGAGCTATAGCGCGCAATCAGACTCGTCTCCCTGCTTCCACAAACACACACAGATCTCTGCTTCCACTAACACACACAGCTCTAACATTTCCCGCTATACACACGCGAAGCATTTTTTCTGCTTAACAAGTCTTCGTCGTGGAAAATCTTGCGACTATCTAGCAGGTGCGTGCTGTCGCTAGCATTCGGGTTTTTTTCCCTTCATCGCAAAAATACGACGAATTTCTCAATATAATCTAATCTAAAACACAATCGGGAGTGAATAAAAAACACGTTTATTTATTTATTCGCGATTATTATGTATTGGTAATTGTGTTCTTGGTCCTGAACAAGAAATGTCTGGGTGTGGTGTGGGGAATACGTAATAACCATGAGGAATAGGAGAAACATGAGTAAGTAATATGTTTATTACGTTTTCTCATTAGTTTAGAACGTTTTCTCTCTCTCTCTCTCTCTCTCTCTCTCTCTCTCTCTCTCTCTCTCTCTCTCTCTCTCT